GGGTTATGATCATCGGGCTCAGAACGCGGAACGCCTTCAGCAAACGAGAGAGAGGTAAGAAGATTTGTTGTAAGAATGGTTAGGGTCGAGCTTGCTATTTATAGGTTGCCAAAATATGTCCACATCATGGGCTTATATGTCCACATCATGAAACATAGTTGCATCACCTCGTAGAGTTGCCATTTGGTTCCTAGCTTCGAAAGGTGTCAAGATACTGACTTCAATCCGTGATCTTTATGTCCACGTCGTGGAATCTTAACACATCACTCTCGTAGACTTGCTATCTGCATTCTAGCCTTGAGATGTGTCCTAGATCATGTTCACACCGTGGACTTAATATTCACGTCATGGACTTAAGGAGGTTAGGGTTTCTGCCACATGTCATGCCCTCAAACAGCTACATATTCGGAAGATCATAACTTTTGCATACAAGCTCCATTTTTTGATGTTCTTTATATCCATGCGTAGGTGGAGACGTATTCTAAAAGTCTCGTTTAGATCACTAAGGTTAGAAAGTATTTTATCTTAAACTCACTTTTTACGATTCCCGATGTCGTGTCGGTTTTGTCGCGAAACTTCGACATGTCATAACTTCTTCGTTATAACTCGGATTTCAACGTTCTTTATATGTACGAAAACCTTGTGACATATACTAAAACTTAGTTATTATTATCTTTCTAAATAATCATCTATCAAAAAGTCATTTTTTTGACGTTTATCGTCTCTAAATTGACTAGTCCGAATCTACGGGCTTTACATCTTCAGTATATCGACATATTTACGAAGGGACTTCCGACATATCTATTCATAGAACTCAGATCCAGTTTGAGAGTCCGTTTTCGGCCTCCCGCTCAAACTGAGGGGGGTGTATCAGTGTATATTGTATCTATTGTATAGTTTAGCCCAGTTAGTTTGCTTATCCTATTGGTCCGTCTATGTTGTAATATGTATTCTCTCATTTTTGTGAAATACGACAACTTAGAACATTACAAACACCTTTACATTCGAACATCAGATTGACCTCCATTCTAGCAAAATACTAGTATATGGCTACATGAAAAAACATACAAGAAATCGGTGGGGTTTCAAAACAAAAATGTGGAAATTAAAGCCCTAGAAATCAAAAATAAAAGTTGAAGAACAATTTCTGAAATCCTAAGTTTGTGTATCTGGAACGATTTCTTAAAATTGAAAACCCTAGGTTCATGTATAATTGTATATTGTTATTGGATCGAAAATCTAGAAACCGGTGGCGGCTGGTCTCGATGGTAAATAATGTACAAAAAAAAGTGATAAAATCGTCGGGAACCTCATAGCAGGTTGCAATGGTATTTTGGAACACGAAAAACAAGCTCAATGGTAAATAGTATAAAAAAGTGATCAAATGTGGAAAAAAAAACGATACCTCATTAACCTTCTAAGTCATTTTTCCAAAAACTAAGGATGCAAATACGGGAAGAATTTTAAAGAAATGATGAAAGAAACTCAATTCAATAAGTGAATTTTATAACATTAAAAAGTGTAATATATTCAATTAAATACAAATAACTATTTTAGAGTTTTTCAAATGAACTTTGACGTTTTTGTTTCGTTTTTTTTTTTTCATTTATTATTTTAGTTAACTTTGCAGACATTGTCATTGATTTGGCATCTCTATATAAAATTCCTATATTTATTATATAACAATATTCAATATTGGTATTGGTTGGAATATTAATAGCATCTTCTTAATGGTATAAATAATTGTATATTATATATAATTTAATAAGATACTTATGATTAAAAAAACATTTTATATACAAATCTGGTGAATGTAGAAAATAAAAATATTAAATATTGAAAGATAAATATACCTTATATCAGTATTAATTATAGAGTAAAAGATGTAAAAATAAAAGAACCATTCTATTAAGAAATGAGTGGGGACACGACCCTATTTTTGCTACCAAATTAAAACAGCCCTTTTTTACAAATGAAAATGAAAAGAACCCCCTTTACAAAAAAAATCTTAATGTCGTTTAGAACTTTAGATTACTTTTTATTTAAAGAGTACATTTTTATTTTTGTACCAAACTTCTATATCTTCTAAAACATTGTTCATATTAGATAATAAATTTTATCATTACATATATAAAGAAAACCACTTACTTTAAGCTTTGTAGTTTGTATTCGTATTATAATTTGATTGTCAAATTGAGTTGCGATAGTTTTAGCAAAATGGATGATAACCGAGTTATGTTGATATTGCGCATATAAATAAAAACACGTTTTATAAAATAAAAACGTGTGTAAATTAAGTTATTTTATATGCATTTTATCTTATTTAATTTGTTTAGATAGATAGAAACATGTTTAGTATTTGCGATATAATGTATAGACTATTGAGAAAAGAAAACAAAGTGATGTAATTTTTTAACTTTTGAATGTAATATTAAATTTATTTTTATTTTTATTTAGTAAGTTAAATATTTTAAAATTAATAATTATTATTTGTATTTAAAGAATAAAAAATAGGTAAAAGATAGGTATAACACACTAAAGATGGAATTGATGAGGGGAACATATTAACTTGGTAGTAAAAAATTAAAGATTACATATTCTTAAGCTATCAGATATTAACTTGGTAGTAAAAATTAAAGATAACATATTCTTAAGTTATTCTTAATATAAATGAACATTGCCCTTTCCAGAGTGTGAGGGAATTGAGCCCACAACCTTCAACGTAAGAACAACACATATAATGATATAACCATTTACGCTATACTTATTTTGACTTGCATTTCTAGGAATTATTTATTTTAAACCGAATTCATTTTTTTAAAAAAATTCCGCAAAAGACATTGTTATTTTTTTACAAACTGAAATCGCTTTCGTGAAAATATTGTCAAAATCACGAAAATCAATAAAATTCGCATAATATTGTGCTAGAGAAAAAGTAATTTTGTAAATTTGAGAGTTAAAGATTATTTTGTGATATCTTTCAAATGATGGATTGTTAGATATTATGAAGGGACGAGTACTTTAAGTTTATCCTTTTTAGAAAAGTATTTGTCAAAATTAAAAAGCATGTTTTATCAAAAAAAAATTCAGTTATGGATTAAAATTTTAGGCAACTTATGTTAGTATAATGTGTTTTTATATTTATATTAAAAATGATAAAAGTCCCCCTTAATTGGTTACTGAAGACAAAACATGACAATATTTTACCCGGTTAGAAAACATACATTTGACAACAAAAACACCCAAAAGAAGCAAAACAAAGTGGTACATAGGCTTAAAATAAATAATATTGCTTATTTAGAAATAAAAATAGAGCAAGGAAGAGAAATGAAAGGGCAAGAAAAATGTATTTTGTGTTTTCGAGATGAAAAGAAGTGATGGAAAATTAAACATTTTGGGGGTGTTTGGCTTAGCTTTTTAGAGGCCAAAAGATATTTTTGGAAAAGTTACAAAAAGTCAGGTTTTCATGACTTTTCCAAAAAGTTGATTTTCCTTCTTTGCAAAATCCAAAAGTAGCTTTTAGAAGTCCTTTGCCAAACATGTTTTGCCTATGATCTTTTTCTAAAAGAACTTTTAATCATTCAAAAGCTAAGCCAAACACCCCCTTTGTTTATTTCTCTCCAAATTCTTCTAAATTTGAAAGAAAGTTGGAAGCGAAAGTTTTATTTCCACTTCTTTCTTCTGACTTTCATCAATTTCTCGTATTTTCCATCGTTATTAGGCGTGTTCGGCACGGAGCGTTTGAGAACTTCTAGCGTTTGACAAAACACTCCATTTTGAACAGAAAACCTCGTTCAGCACTATAAGCTTCTAATGTATAGTTTAAACAAAATGCTCCAAATCCCAATGCTACTTCATGTAGCGTTTAACAAAACGCTACAAGCTACAAACTACAAACTACCTGCTACAAACCATCCGCTACCAGCTAATTTTGCCGAACACGCCCAAGGTCAACTCAGAAACAGATGGAAATCGCCACCTCCAGCTACTAATCTGGAAACCAAATTCAAAACCACCACCAACTGCCTGATATGAGGACCAACTACAAAACCACTGTTGTCATCAACTGCTGATTTAAGAATAAAATGCATAACCAAGAGGGGTTTGACCCTTTGATGTTATTGGCAACCAGCCCACAAAGGGGGAACTTTGGCAACAGATTCAACCACCGCACACTCAACGAGTTACGGTTTTTGTTTCAGATTTATTTTTAAATTTGGCCACAACCACCTTCAATGAGTTAGGATTATCGCGATCTGTTCTGTTTACCCTTCTCCAAAATTATAACCTATTTCAAGTCCGTGTGGGGGTTTCATTTATTTGAATACGAAATTGTGTTTTGTGTGTGTGTGTGTGAATCTGAAATCTGAAAGCGAATCACGTTTGTGTGTTTGTTTTGGGTTTATAATCGATTTTGGAACAGTAAAAATTAGGACTCAAGATGTTTTGGGTGTTCTAGGCTTGAAATCATTTCAAGGTGTGTGTGAATCTGAAATCCGATTCTAGAAACCTGAATTGATTAATGTAATTTATGGGTTTGTTCGTCATCTTTTGATTTGAAAAGCAAGAACAGAGTATAATGGTTAGTGACGATGGACTGTGATGGTGGTAGGTGGTGGGGCCATAACCATTTCTAATATAATAATATAGAAACTAATAATAATAAATAATAATAAGTCCAAAAAAAAAAGGAAAAATATCTTCTACACAAATAAAACACCAGCATGCAACATAATCAAACCGCTAGGACCAAGTGTGTAGGGGGTTTAGATAGTAGTACTGAATCAACCTGTGTTGGCAAACCATAAGGGTAAAAATGTCTTTTATGCTCTTTGAGTTTGGGTAGTTGCCATGTTTCATATATGCGTTGGTGTCAAGTGCACAAAAGAACAAAAAAAAAAAAAAAAAAAAAAAAACAAATCAACTTGGGTTCGAAGGCATCAGAGAAAGATTCTTAAACTGCAGAAAACATAACGTTGAAACAAATTGATGACACCTTTATGTGCTCAAAAGTTGTGTCACCTTATAGAAATAAATATTAGCATCAAAACAAAACCTATCTGCTTCTTAATCAAAGAATAATCTTTTTTTTTTTTTTCTTTTCTTACAAGAAAATCAAAACATCTAGTGTACACCTCTTGTTTAACAAAAGCTAACCTGCATAATGTACACCAAGGGAAGAACAGCTTCTAGAAATCATTCAATACATTCCCTTGAACACAGGATTTGTTCGGCATATGCTGGCCCCATATTCCTCATATTCTGCTTTTGTATGGCATGCCTATTCATCAAAATTCAAAAACGTAAATACTGGTGACTTGTACTGTGTTTCACATGTATTGGACTGAATCCGAATAATTAAATATATAAAAAAAAATTACCGTAAAAAATTCAGGTGTTGATGCAAGTACAGAGCCTCCAAACCATACTGCATATCTCTGGATCGGATGGCTCACAACATTCACTTCAACCGGTTGTGCCTGAACCAGTAAGTAAGCTATATATCATCAGTGTTTCTTTTTTTACTTTTTTACTTAATACACAAACAACAACTTTTTACAAATCTGATAATATTTACTTTACACTCCATTATTTAATATCTTTACCTTTACTTCACTACCATGTCTAGCACTGGATGCAAGAACACGTGCATCCACAATCTTCTTTGTATCCCGTTGCAGCCTTCTTTGGAAGTCTTTAAACATGGTGGATCCTCCAGACAACACTATATTCTGTAGTAAGTCTCAAAAAAATTAAATCAACTTTTTTTTTTTAATGTAATTTTCTAATTATATGTATATTTTTTATGGACTGAATAATGTGTACCCACCTTATATAGAGCTCTTCTTGTGTCAATTGGTGCAGATTGAATACACCTGTCTATTACAGCAGGTAAAGGGGTTGTGAAGTCTTTATCGTATATCTCTGGATTAAAGAAAATCTGCATGATAGAAATATAAAAACATTATAAGATTCACTAAAAAACATAGTAACATCATCTTTGAAAATAACAAAAATATAAATCATAAACCTCGGGACCAAGAAATCGTTCATAGCCAACATCACATGAGTAAGGTGCCCCGGTCTTTGGTTTAATACCTCTCCATTGTTTAACATACTTGGAAGGTTCTTTGTCATGTTTATTGTACTCCTATGCAATTAAAAAAAAACATAAAAATATGATCATAAAATCATGAAAGTTTGTAGCTTTTTCAATTTGCATAGCTATGAAGTTATAAAAACTACCTTGACAATGTCTGCACATGTGTAGCAATAAGTTTCCTTAATCTTTCGAGCTACTTCAAGTGAATCTTCAGGGGGGACATGCTCCCCTCTTTCCTGCATAAGGAAATATCATGAGAGAATAATTAACACTTCCCCCCCCCAAAAAAAAAAATGAAAATGAAAGGAAATGGGAATGAACATACACGCATGAGTTGTTGGACAAAGAGAGTAACATCTTTTCCTGAAATTGGTAACGACTTAATGCTGCTCCCAATAACATAACCTTCAGCAACGGGTACAACATGAGTGGCACCATCTCCAACATCTACTACAACACCTGTCATCTCACACTATGCAAATACAATACGATTCATGTAAATACTAAAATCATAAGTTCCCCACTTCATAATGTCTTTTGGGAATTTTATCGAACAGGTGGTGTGCATAGCTGAAAACAACAACAATCACCAACCTTAGATGATGTGTACCCAGCAGCAAGAGCAAGTACTGGTTGAACTGCAATATAAAGCCCTGGAACATTGAATGTTTCAAACATAATCTCACCCGTGTACTCTCGACTTTCAGGTGGAGTCAATGGACTCTCTGTTAATAAAAAGTAATGGTCTTCTGGATCACAACGCAAGTAGTTAAATATACATTGCTGCCAAAACCGTTCCATGGCATCCCAATTTTCCACCTGCCCGTGTTTGATTGGGTAGGTTAGACTATAAGTACTGCTACTTCTTGATTTGGATATGGCTTCTTCCCCAATAAAGAAATCAAGATCAGCCATTACACCAGCGCTGTGCTGTGTCAGCCAACTGCTACTTCCTTTGGTAGAGGAACGATTGGGCTGAGTTATGAAGGATTCGTTAACTGCAACTACTGTTGGAGCAATAAAACAGGGCTCCACGTTACCCGCAAAACCCATTTTAGTATACCTGAAACGCCATCACATTTATTGATCAAGCCATTTGAACAAGCAGATGATCCTAACAATCGAGTGAGTAAATGATATCTTATATAGATGGTGATCAATAGCGGAAAAAAGGAATTGTGATAAATGAATCTTGTAAATAAAACATCGTGTGACAAAATTAATGCAAGGAAATCGGAATTACCCGGTGCCGTTGTCGATAACTACAGCAGGACGTGATGTGGAAGGATCCATGAAAAGAGAGTGAGCAGCAGAGAGAAACAGCGATGTTATTGGAGCAAAAGTGGATCTGCGGTTGAGATCCGATGTGGGGTTTAAGGGAGGAAGTGATCATGGTCGTTGGGGGAAATCGATTAAAACCGTGGACGTCGAATGTAAGCGAAAGCGGCAATTCAACAACCAGCAGCGAAGATGATTGATCTTGTCAATGGGTGTAGCTCCATCCATTTGATTTCATTGGAAAAGAGAAAATAATCCTGTCGGAATCAGTTGTTCCATCAAATTCACCATTATTACAATACGAATCCACTATCCCCCACCTTTTCCCCCAATTCAACACCTTTCTTGGCGATAAAACAATCAAATCCTGTCCCTTTCTCTCCTATCTGCGTCTCTCGTGGTCGTGTGAAGATTGGCAGTCGAATTTTGAGGTTCGATTGGAGAAGTGTTTGGCACGGCTCCACTACTAAGATCGCCCAAGTGCCCCTTGCACCTTCACCTGGTCCGGTTAGGTTAACCCGTAAGTGTGATGGCCCAAATTGGGTGCAAATTTTACAATTTCTACTTGGAAAAAAATAAAATCAAAGGTAGGCAAATGAAATTGTTTCCAAAAACAAAAAAAACCTTCGTCTTTAAAAAGAAAATTTTATAAGTAAAACGTTTTTTTGGAAAGAAACAAATTATAAAACATTTGGCCCATAAAAGATGATCTTCTTCATAATAAACACGTTAGTCCATCATTAATTAAAAAATAAGAAATGAAAGTATAATCAAATCTAATCTTATTGTATTGGTTCCATTAATGCCTGCTCAAATTCGTTGCTTCTTTTAATCCGAAATCCAGTAGCTATCAAGATATATAATTAAATATTCACATCATTACCTTAAATCAAGGTTGTATTTGATGAATTATTTTTTAAATAGTACTGTCCAATTGGACATGAAAATTGTTTTTTTATGGAAGCAAATCATTATTGATAACAAGTTCAAGTTTAATTATATATATATATATATATATATATATATATATATATATATATATATATATGATATGATCGGTCTTTGTTTGCTATTAGTCTTTTCTTCGAACTTAAATCATCGATTTTTTTTCTGGACTGCATAATCAGGTACCTGTTTGCTGTTAGTCTTTTCTTCGAACTTAAATCATCGATTTTTTTTCTGGACTGCATAATCAGATACCAATTTTCTTCTTTTGCTACAACAAAGGTAACACAGATATTGTATATTATGAACAAATCGATGGAAAGTACTACAATAATGTGGCTATATATTAAAGTTCAAGTTTAATTATATATATGATATGATCGGTCTTTGTTTGCTATTAGTCTTTTCTCCGAACTCAAATCATCGATTTTTTTTCTGGACTGCATAATCAGGTACCAATTTTCTTCTTTTGCTACAACAAAGGTAACACAGATATTGTATATTATGAACAAATCGATGGAAAGTACTACAATAATGTGGCTATATATTAAAGTGTTAGTTCTTCATCCATACTTTTAATTGATTTCAAGATCATGAAGTGTAAATTTATATCTCTTACTGCTATTAAACTGTTATTTATTCATCCACACTCTTTAAACTATTTTTTTTCTATTTTTCTTTTCTTCGGACTCAAATCATTGGTGATTTTCTCGATTGCATAATCAGGTACTAACTTATCCTTTTGTTGCTTCATATGTAACATACATAGTTGATATGATGAATAAATTATTGAACAATAGGACAATAACATTCCTATTAAATTGTTATTTAAATGTTCATTATGTATGGGCATTATTGTCACTTAAAATTTACAACTCTTAACAAGAGGATTTGCTTTTTTTTTTCTTAATTTGTCCTCATTTATTTTGTGATATAAACTTTATATGTTTTAATGGAATTATATGAACCGAATGTTTGGGTGTTGCTATTAGTTGTATTGACTTTTATACCCGAAAGAAATCATTGTTTTTCTAATCTACACTCAATGGACTTAAACTGTTATTAAACTGTTCATTTATAATTGTTAGCAGACCTATGTAACTTGTATGTTTATTTTTGTTATTCTTGTATGTATTTAACCAAGCCCAATTGTGTGTATTACCGGTACATCTAGGCCCACTCCTCATCTTGTATTTATTCTGTTTTCTTCATTGTAATGAGTGAGTTTAGAGTATATAAAGATTATCATTAATCAACACTCAATGTTTTATTTATAAATGCATTTTATAGCAGCCAACTTTTAACCATTGTCATTTTATTAGGCCTTGCAATTAGGTTGGGTTCGGATTTGCGGGTTGGCGGGTCAGAAAACATAAACTCAACCCAACTCATATAATATATGAGTTGATGGTTTTGACGGGTCACAGATTGATGGGTTGGAAACATCAACCTAACCCAACCCATATAACCCATTTAAGTATATGAGTTTGCGGGTCCACAAGTTAATGGATCAAACCCAACCCATATAACCCGTTTAATAAATAAGCAACACATTTAAAAAAAATGAGGTTTTTTCAACATAAATTCATAAAATGATTAAAGTAATTAACATAAAAAAAAAGGTTTTCAACATAAATTTATAAAGTCAATAACATCCAAATAAAAATGAAAAATGAAAACATTCAGAAAAAGTGGATGTGTTCTTCGTTCGTGACTCGTGAAAATAACGACATGCATTTTTTCTTTTTTTGATTAATGAACCGCAAACGCAGATTACTCACATATGAATACGGAAAGAATACAATGATGCGTAATATTATGAATACGGATGGAAATCAAATTTCATTAATAATTATATATATATATATATATATATATATATATATATATATATATATATATATATATATATATATATATATATATATGTGTGTGTGTGTGTGTGTGTATATATACATACATGTGTTGGTGGGTTGACCCGCTAACCCAAACAGATAACCCAACCCAACCCATGAAATAAACGGGTTGGTGGGGTTGGCGGGTTGATAGGTTGGTGGGTCAAAAATCTCTCCCAAACCCGTCTATTTTCGGGTTGGGTTAGTTTCGGGTTACGGATTGGATATTCAAAGTTGTCGCCCTACATCTTATACCCATAGTGGTTTTTCCATTTTCTCAGCGGCCTATTTTTATTAAAAACATTTTATATAAGCCTACTTTTTACTCTATAGTTGCTATTTTTATGGAAGTCCGATGGAATACACTTTAGTTTTTATTTGAATTAAATCTTGACAATAATGTTAGAGGATGAGAGAGACATAGGAGGGATATTTTTGTCACTAAACTATATAATGAATTGTGGAGATGAATCTTTGTTTGACTAGTCCATATATTGAAATACACTTAGAATTATTATGTAAAACTCCAACTAAACAACAATAGAATTATCATGACTGCATTTTTATGTCATAAATAGCATGCTATGTATTTATTTAACCCAATATTAGATTGCTAAATTCACGGGCGGCTCAATCAATCTGGGGCTCTAAGCAAACAAAAAAATTGAGGCCCTTCAAGTAAGCAAATGTTTCGAACTTAAGACCTTTAGTTTTATAAACCAATGTTTTTATCACCAATCCAAACTTCAACTTATCTGTGTAACCCAAAAAATACGTATATATACATATATAATAGAATAAGCTTTAAAATTGAGGACCCTAAACCCTTGCTTAGTTTTGCAAAGGGTAGAACTTGTCATGTTTACTTTCACCGTAATTTAAAATTACCAAAAGACTTTCATTTTTTTTACTGGAATGGTAAATTTGTACTTTGGACAAAAAAAATAAATTTTCTTTTATAACTTTTATTTATTTTTCCTATAAATGCTTTCATCTTACATGGATGCTAACAAACATTTGTGTGATCGATCTTAATGATGTATAATGGCTTGTATTTAGAAGTCATGGCAAATACTATTCCAAATTATGATGCTAAAGCTTCATGTGAAAAACTTTCAAAGAATCTTGCTCTTAGAGAATAAAAGTTCCAGAATCCATTTGAACAAGAAGATTATATTAAACGCAAAAGATATTTTTTAATTAACAACATCTAATTTAATGTTTTTGACTCCTAAAATAGTATAATATATGGATTTAGAAGAAGAGCATGCCTACCGACTATGTGGAGGTAGACTATTAAGACTTTATATTTGCACTGCAGTAACTTCCTCCGATACTGTGTGTGCCTTTTGATGAGTTTTTATACAAAATATAAGTTTGTTTTTCAAAAAAACTGCAACGAAAGACTTTAAACATAACAAGTTCATTTTTGGTTCATAACAAAACAAAACCATCAATGATCCATTTATAGAGGTTAGAATGAAATAAAAACAACCAAAGAGTTTTAGAATGACAACCTTTGAAGCCTTTGAACTCACTTGGTTTTGGGGTATTGATGAAGATAACAAAAAATCAAAGAACATGATTTTATGTATGTATATCCACCATCAAGAGTAAGACACTTGAAATGCTAGTTTCTTCTTGTATTCTTGAGTGTCTTAAGCCTTTAATTGTTTAACTCAAATAACCACTAAAGAAGACAACTCAATGAAGCTTTTTGATAGTTTCGTTTTTATTACTTATTTTCATAGTTTATTTTTAGTTAAAACCATCTCATTTTAGTTAATCTTCATGCATATTTTTCTCTTTTTATTATTTTTCTCCTTTACCGAGTGCTTTCCATACTTTTGAGCTTATTTGTAGGATTTATCGAAGACTTTTTGTTATTAGAGGCTTAGAAGGGTGCGAGATTTATGGAAGCATGAAGTTTGCTTGTGGACTTGAAGGGTGTGATTTGGTTTGTTGTCAACATAATCAAAGGAGCAAGTTGGTTTTAAATTTACATGAAGAATGATGACGAGGTGAAGAGAACTCGAGCTACGAAAGATTGATGGGGCATTGGATCGATCATTAAAGGCTTTGGAATGACACAAATGGGCTCTAAAGAGTTATGCATGTGGGCTGAAGTGTGAATGGGAAGATTAGGCTAGATTGTATTTTAAATGGCCCAAGTCCCACATTCAGCGTTACCCACGCGATCCACGTGAATTGTGATGAAATGAACCCGGGTTTTGACTTGTTGACCCTATTTGACGAAGGTTGGTGTGTGACTTTTGGCAACTTTTTGAATCCGGAAACCAACTTCTTTTTGCTGGAGATTGAAGGTATTTTTGCATATGAGGACTTGAAGAACACACACTATTTTTCTCTCAAGAAGGCTTTGGAAGATTTGAAGAATTTTTGGAAGATTAGTGTAATTTCTTTCCATCTTGCATATAATACAATGTTTGGTACCACTAAACTATATTGCATTTCTTTTACTTTGGTCATGTTTGGCTAAACTTTCATTTGGTTGATTACGGTTTAACCCATGGATGATTAGTTGCTTTGAAGACTTAATATTATCTTGTGTTTGAAGTTTATGGAAATGTTTTCTAGTTAAATATCTTGTTGTGTATATTTATCTTTGATCATGAGCTTGGATGAATGAATGTTTGTTTTTGTTGACTAATTTCTTGGTTAAGTAATGGACTCTCAAATTAATAAGCAACAAATGGTTTCTATGTTTGTTTTCATTTCATTTAAACCATGGAAATGT